TCTCTTTCCTCTCTTTTTTACCTTCTACTTCTCTAGGGTAGCGGCTTCCTCTATGATAACTGAGAATAATCTCCTTGCTAAGATTTGTTGAAGTGGGCCCAGTTGGAGAGGTTGGGGGGATTGTGTGGAAAAAAACCCAAAATAGCAAATTGATTTTAGGTATATTCGAACTCGGCCGCATAAGAAGGAAATTTCCAAGAACAAGGAGCAAGAGTCCTTAGGGACTCTCTTGAAACAAAATGGAAAATAGCAACAAAGAACAATGTTAATATCTCAACACATACACGACAACTTCAGAAACAAGAAATAATTTTCTCAAAAATCAGAGATCTTTAGCATAAACTCACCTTTCCAATATGTTTCCAAAGTCCTGCAAGGAAAAATAAGATAAAGTAAATAAAAAATAAGATAATCATGAAATTTCCATCATTTTGCATTTTCCCTGGTACTTTTGCTTTTTTTGTTTGTTTAATAATGTGGTTTTTTTTCCTTGTTGCTTTCTAGGGAAACATCCAAGGCTATGTTAATAACAGAACCTAAACTAAACTACGAGGGGCTTCCTCAGTGTGTGTTAAGAAGAAAGGAACTCAAGAAGACACCATGTAGTGATGCAAGAAGATCCAGCTTCCTAGTTTTATCACCTCCCAGTGTATTTCCAGGGAGAGGTCTGACCACTTATGACAATTGAAACAAAACAGGGAAATATATATATATATAATAGACTGTATTAAAATTGATTACTGAATTCTATAAACCTTGACTTGGCAAGAGGCAAAGCCTCAATGTCTTCAGCAAACTGATTTTGTGTGGGACAGCAGAGAGTGATGATCGATTAGGGGACATAAATGGAGCGTTACCTCAGCAAAGCTGACTTTCTTTCCTCTGATCACACAGTTTGGCTGATTTGGTATAATCTCTCTGTGTGGATAATACTCCCAATCTCCTGAAGAGCATTCTATCCTATGCTATTTCATAAAATGGCAAAACTCGCCCGGGGATTACCAGAATATGCATAAATAAGTGATTGAACAAACAGAACGATGGGAGACAAGGAGCACATATCACTTAGCTGAGAGAAATGGTATATGCAGGGAACGTTTCAATGTCTAGACTGCATTGCCAAGAAAAGCATTCCTGTCTCTCAGGATGGACCCTCCTCCTCACCTGGAGCAGCTCCACCTCAGGCTTCTGGCACATGTCAGTCAGCTCTCTGTACATTTCTTTTAGGTATTCTTTCTGTTGGGTCATTCTGACTTCACTGTTCCTGAGTTGTTGCAAAGTCTCCTCTGCTTCTCTGTCTATTGTCTCCAGATGGAGTTGCTCCTCCTCGTGGAGAAATAGATGTATCTTCTGATATTGAATTTTGATCATCACCTTCCGTAAAGCCACATAGTGCTGCAGAGATATTCAGTTAAAAAGATTACATGTCCTCATTCTCAACAGAAAACTTACAACTTCAAGTATGATTTCCTTACAACTTAAAACTTCAAATTCAAGCAAATCATTTATAAACTTTCTGCCTCAGATCTTCAAAGGATCTTGA